ATCAAAAAGTTATATATAGAAATGAAAGAAACACCACATTGTGTGATACTTAAAGCCAAAGATAGACAAAAAACAATAGACAAACATAAAACCTGAACATATGCTATAACGTCTGCATAACACATACCTAAAATGGCTAATATTCAAGCACCCCCACATTGAGCAGAGCTTACAAAGTTTTACTCTTCTTTTGTTAGGTGTGTGATAGACGGATCCAGAATAAAACATAAAAAAACACTTACTGTGTGATGCTCCATTTTATTTTTAAATTTATGTTAAAGATTTAGCAAATTACTTCTCTGTCCAGTTCAATCAAGGCACAGCCGGGGCACACATTAGAGGTAATCAATATAGTCACAAAAGCAACTTTAGCTTAATGAAGCTGCAGTCTCACTGCTCATTTCTCTGCCATTTAGGAGTTATCACTTTGTTTATACAGCCCTAGTCACACTTCCTTGCATGTGACTTACACAGCCTTGCTAAACCCTTCCTGTAAAGAGAGATCTAATGTTTACACTTCCTTTATTGCAAATTCTGATTAATTTATAATTTATTTTCTCCTGTTCTGTTAATAGCTTGCTAGACCCTGCTGGAGCCTCATGTATGTAATTAAAGTTCAATTTACAGAGCAGGAGATAAAAACTTTTAAAGTAAGTTACATCTGATTAAAAATTAAGCCATTTTGTTTTTATACAGGCTGTGTCAGTCACAGTCAGTGAGGTTTGGCTGGGGTCTCGCCATCCCTTTCCACCCTGGACCAAACACCTGAATCCAGCTCCCAGTGGGAAGACCTCTCCTCCAAGAGAGTATCCCTGTATAATAATCCAAAAAGCAGTATAGCAATCCCCCCCACCCCCCATACATGAGCCAAGTCATATGTTTAATGTCAGTTACAGAATTTATACACGTCACAAACTCTTCCCCTGTGACTGAGAGATTGTCAGGAACTGTACAAACTCGATTATCTCCAGGTACAGAAAAACATAAAATTTACAAACACCCCAAAAGTACCCATAAAAGACGTGAAAACCCCACAAAAGTCACATCCACTGATAGCCCCGATCTGGGAGACTAACATATCCTAAAATCACCCAGATCGGTTCAGGGGGTCAGATTTTTCATGCAAGTCATTTTTTTGACCGACTGCACACATGGTCCTATGCCCAAAACAGTTTCATGAGATCAGTGCTAGCGGTCAGTCAACGTCTGTAACATAAAAACGAAAGAATTACCGAACGTAGTCTATATTTGAACCGTGGAGCTTGTTCCCCTCATCCAGACAAACGATTACACCGAACAGTGTTCTTCTAGAATCTACAGAACCGAACGCAGGCGATGATGGAAGTCCAGCGGTGTTCGGGAGTTTCAGTGTCCGATTTTTAGTTCTAGGAACTCGATGACCAAACACCACTGCCTGCGTTTTGCAAGATAGCCGCCACCTCGTGATCGTTCATACAAATTGCGCCCACCCTGACGAACAATTAGAACACTGCGGTTAGAATCGTTAAGAGGTGATGATAGCTCCCAGGTGGTCGTTTGTTCAGTTCCCAAACAACTTAGGAAAATGGCACGAACAAAGTATTTTCCCATTGTTTTTACAGGGCCCATAGTCCTGGGGCAAGAGGCTGGCAAGCAGGCTCCTCCAGGACGTGGTGAGGTTTAAGCAAAAGAAACAAAAATGGGGGAAATTTATCATATTGTTGCCTTTTTTTAATTTTATTACCTTTTCCTTTTCTTCACCAGTGCACAGATGGATTTTTATGCATACCAAAAAAAAAAAAAAGATGGAGTTTAGGCAAAAAAAACATTTACACAGTTTAAAACATATTTTTAAGAATCTTAATAAATATGAAAAAAATTTAGATGAAAAATAATGGATACTATTCTGAACACTTTGATAAATCTCCCCCATTGTTTGTGTTTCTCCTACTGTCCCTATGTTGAGTGCAAAGTGTGAAACCTATAATTGTATAACTAATTAAAAAGAGAGCGCATACATAACAAATAAAGAACCTTCGTAATAATTTACATGTGGTCCAGATCAAACAATAGGAATAAAACCTAATATACTCAAACAATGATAGCTGCTAAAATAAAAAGAAATTTCCCATTTCATAAAACAAATGTACATATAAATTTTTCAGTGCTTAGTAGATAGTCCCCTTAAAATTAAAAAGGTGCATATATATGCAAACAAATGAAAAAGTCTAGCACAAGAAGTATCCAAAAAGTATAGTTCAGTAACAGAGTCCTGCAATCCAGATAACGTTGTAATATACAGGAGCTCAGAAGCATGTAGTAATACCTTAGAAAAAAAGAAACAAAGAGATATACATAGCGTGATACTGTATCAAAAGTTTAATTTCCCAGGAAGTATAAACAAAACAGAGAGAAAACCCCCCAACTATAAAAACTCGTACCCTGTATAAAATAAAATACTCATCGTGATGGATCAAACAGAAGAAAATCCTTTGCGTCCCTTCGTGTTTCTATTAAGGATAGCCCCTCTCTCGGTGCACTCGGGAGGGCTGTCTGTAATGTTCTCGATGGGAAAACGCTGGCTGAAGGTCCGACTTCTGTCAAGCGTTAGCGAAGTATGTGAACTCGAAAATCTTCTGGATAAATGATGATAGCACCCTATCAACGCGTTTCGCCCAAGATGAAAAAGCCCTCGTTAGAAGGGCGAAACGCGTTGATAGGGTGCTATCATCATTTATCCAGAAGATTTTCGAGTTCACTGAATAGCTGGGATCTGAGCGCACAATCTGACGAATTACCGCTCAGATCCGTTCGTTAGAATAGAAAAGCCATTTGAATGAAATTCTGGACCGGTCTGCCACAAAACACGAGCCCCAAAATAATTCCAGGCAATTGCAGGCTTTGACCGGTCTTCTTTCGGGAGTTCATACGAATTAACAATTGAAAATACACATTAATATACTGCGTTGTTGTGTGTAGGAAGTTTGTGGGCTTCAATTAGCCGAACGCTGTTCCATTTAGACGAACGGGTCTATTTGCACGAATGGCATGGAAGTCCAGCGGTGTTTGCGAGGTCGAGTAGGTGATTTTAGTCCCATGCACTCGCCGACCAAAAACCGCAAAACCCTAATGGTTTAATGGGTGGTCGCCGTTCGTATGAATGAACACATGGCGGCGACCATCTTTGCGCACATCTGTGCACAAAGATGGCCGCCGCCATGTGTTCGTTCATACGAATGGCGACCACCCATTAAACCACTAGGGTTTTGCGGTTTTCACTATGTTGCCAACGTTAATTGGAGACACACGACTTCCTTGTGTGGTCCTCCATTCGACAGTTTATTCGTTTTCACGAACAGTACATCCTTATTTTGTTCGTGAAGTTAACATACGAATGCACATAGTTTTTACACGGGAGATATAGGCGAATGAACCCAGTTCTTGCACAATGAAGTGGCTAGGTTTGCCACACTAACATCTAAACTTAATTGTATTTTTTTTCAGCTTTAATAAACACATTTACATAAAATACAGAAATAAACTTTGGTAAAATACTCATATGAAAAGAGGTGAAATTGTATATAGGCATTATGAATTGGTTCATGCTTAAAAATGTCTTTGTGGTGATTAATCTACCTAAAATGTGGCACCAAAATGCAGTGTGTACTTATGTGTGCATTACTAAATAATACACCTAGAGGGTATATAACATCTAATGGTTTATTTTCAATCATAATAAAATTTGAATTTTTCCTCTCAGAAGACTCTTGTCAGGAAGAGTCTACTGTCACTGCATAATGATTGATTAACTTATTTATTTGTTTTCCAGTGGAAGAACATTCACCCGTTAGATGGAAAAGCAATTTGTAAACAGGAAGTTTTATGGAGCAAATTGTCTACATGGAAAAGAAGAAATGGGAGGGAAATGCAGTACCATGAACAGTTTGTTTGGGTTTTTTTAATTGTTAATGCCTTAAAAAAAATGTATAAATGTCCTCTAGTAGGCTGTACCATGAACATGGTTCCAGATTTTTTTAATTATTAATGCCTTAATATTAAAATAATAAATGCCAACGTACTCTGTGTTTGTCTTTTTTTTTCTCTTCATACTCTTGTTACATTTGTATCTAAATACCTACACAGCTTTGCGTGTTTTTAGCACAATTAAGGTTAATCGCTAAAGTATGAACTGGCAGGAATTCAATGCTAAGGGGACACTGTAGGCAGAGCCGCCACCAGAAATTTTGGGGCCCCTAACTCCGCTCAGGGTCTGGGGCCCGCCTCCAAATACCGCCCACAGGGTCCGCCTCCAAATACCTCCCACAGGAATACACACACTGATACAAAAGGACACAGATGCATACTAACAGACACACATACCGAAACAGACTTACGCGCATACAGGCATACATACATACTGAGACATACACACATATACAGACACACAGGCATACATAGTGACACAGACACATACTAACATACATACAGAAACACACATGCATGAGGAGATAAAGACACAGACATACATTCATAATGGCATACAGACATGCATACTGATATACACACAGGCATACGTTCATAATAACATACTGGCATACATACATATATACATACATTGATACTGGCATACATACATACAGACATACATTGATACGGACATACAGACATACATTGATACTGACATACATACATTCATATATACTGACCTAAGTGCGTGAGCCACCCGGAAATTCCGCCGCCACATGTGGGGGCCGGGCCAATGACAATAGTTATGGTTGTCACCCCCTGATGGCGGCCCTGACTGTAGGCACCACAACTGCTTCATCTCGGTGAAGTGGCTATAGTTTCTGTAGTCCCCTGGCGCTGTCCTTACATTCAGCATTAAAGGGACACCATAGTCACCAGAAAAAACTACAGCTTAATGTAGTTGTTTTGGTGTCTACTGCCTGTTCCTGCAGGCTTTTTTCCAGAGAAAATGCAGTCTTTACGTCACTGCCTAGGGACACCTCTAGTGGCAGTCACTCAGACATACAATGGTGCAATGTTATGATAAAGGATCCTCCTATCAAAATACTGGGTCATAACTGCAAAAGCGACTCTAGAGGCTGTCAGGAAGACAGCCACTAGAAGCATGTTAACCCTGCATAGAAACAGCCATTCCTGCAAAATGGCAGGGTTAAAAGACAGGGGCGTGGACCCAGACCACGTCTTTGAGAGGAAGTGGTCTTGGTGCACAGTGTAAAGTGTGTTTTCAGTTTGCATTGTTTTGGTGTAAAATGTTAAATTGCTGACTGTTTACACTGTAGGGAACAGCCCTGTATGAGTGTGATTTGAAAAAGGCATAAAGTTGTGTTAGAAAAAGCAGAAATCCAGAGCATGGAAACACTACAGAAGTGCCGGCACGTTCTGCCCTTCTAGCTCAGTTCTCCTTTAAATCTGGACTACGAATCCATGGCCCATAAGCATATTAGTCCAAAAAAAACATGTACAGGGAGCTGGTGCCATATGGGATACATACAGTGCAACCCACAGACACACTGAAAACATTCATACCCCATGAGCATTCTGCTGACGAGGGGAGGAAGGGGAACAAGTGATATAATACATGCACATCTTATAATTTTTTTAATTAAAAAAAGGGGGTAGAGGGGAGGTGATTTACCTAGAATGGCAGCTTCACCACTAGAGGCAGAGGGGTAAGAGAGCTAGCGCAGTGAGGGGATAACGAAGACTGATCTGTGGGCTGGGCTCGATTTTTCTCAACTCAAATTTCATAGATGGCAGCACTACCAGATCGGCAATAGTAACCACAGGAGACACTGGGCACTAAGAAGCTTCCAAGCACAGGGATTCGCCCTCAGTGGCAATTCCATCCTACGAAGAGACAGGTGACCTAAACCCACATTGTAAGTAGTTTACTCCATCCCCCCTTTTTTTTTTGGTTTCCCTCCTCCTCTACTCCCCCCTATAACTTTTCCTCTTTTAAAACAAAATAGAGTCATAGAAGCTTGGCAGTCTTACAGGACTAGTAAGGGTAACTTAAAACTACCAGCACACTAACTATTGAATGGGAGGCACAGAGACTACCTAGTAGTCTAGACATCTAGCATTGACAAAAGCCGTCTTATTCCCGGGATAAGTTCCTGTGGAACTCGCTTCCCTCCTCTGTTAGATGCTCACCCAGTCTCCACTCCTTCAAAAAAATCTTTAAAAACCCACTTCTTCATAAAAGCGTATCAATTAAACTGTTAATAGCTCCTGACTGATTCCTCTTTTGCAACTGTCACTAGTCTAATACTATCCTTACCCTTTTGTGTCATTTTACCCCACTCCCTCTAGCATGTAAGCTCATTGAGCAGGGCCCTCAACCCCTCTGTTTCTGTGTGTCCAACTCGTCTGGTTACAACTACATGTCTGTTCGTCCACCCATTGTAAAGCGCTGCGGAATTTGATGGTGCTCTATAAATATCACAATAATAATAAGTAACCATCACTAGGAGCCCATTTAGCTTGCCACCTATTTGCATTCACGTGGCAATCTGATGAGAAAGTACCTCCGAGGCAAGGCATAGATGGGTTGTTAGGGCTGAGAATTAGTTCTAACCAGGGGTATGTACCTTGTTCAATGTAACGTTGTCTCACATCCGGCAAATAAACCCATGGCGATACCTAGTCCACCTCAAAAGTTTTTAGCATTGTATACAATCCATGTATGTATTAATTGCCAAGAGATGTAATGATGTCTACGTAAATGATATACAGGATACCCACTGTTTAAATATGAATACCCTCTTTCTTTCTGTACCCAACTGCCTCTTAATTGACTCAATAAAAATTGTCAATTGAAAAAAAAAAAAAAGCAGAAATCCGCTATGATTCTGGGTAGTGATGGCATTGTTTGATTATTGCTGCTGTTCAAAGTAACGTGAGAATCAGAAAGCTATGACATTAATTTTGAGGATTTGTTTCCTATCCAAAAGGTATTTTTAAATCTATTGTTCAACAGTAAGAAAAAAAAAAAAAAACTTTAGCATAACTCTTGTAATATGTCACAGGTGAAATATTCTTACCTGGCTTCATGTTAAGGCCATCAGGTGAATTTTTGTCCCTGCATTTTTCAATTAAAATGGAAAATAACTTTTTAGACAAAAAAAATCTTGGCCCTGACATGAGGCTTTCTTGGTTCCTTTTTTACATTTATTTATATATTATTATTTTTTTTAAACTTGTTGTTTGGAATGACATCTTCAAAAACATCAACACAAGACAGTGGCAATCAATCACAGAGATGGACACTGTCTGAATTTATCGTCTAGAGCAGGGTTTCCCAATCCAGTCCTCAAGTACCCCTTACCAGTCCATGATTTAGTCCTTTCTTTCTTTCTTTCTAAAAACACCTAAGACTCAATTGAGTAATCCCTAAATCCTGGAGTGTTAGGGGGTACTTGAGGACTAGGTTGGGAACCACTGGTCTAGAGCAAAAACAAGAGGATTGTCTCTTTTTCTTTGCCTTCAAATGAAGCAGCTGAAAGATGCTTAATTGAGAGAGGCAATGAGGTCACTAGTATAGTAATTAGTTTTGATTTGTATTAGAATAATGGATTTAAATGGATGCAGAAATATAGCCTAGGTTCCGCTGAAATAGGAAATTGTTATTGAGGAAAATGAAAAAAGCATAATTTTAAAATACTTTTTTTTTCTTCACTGTATAGTACAGTATAAATAGTGAATTTCTTTTTTTTTTATTATTCTTTTTTTTTGCAGTGCATATTAATGTTACAGGCAGGCGTGAGGTCCCCCGAAAGCAGTCCTCAAGCTTTTCCACGCTTAACATGCGGGACATAAGATTAATAAGCACAATTTTATTATATAAGTTGAAGTAGTTGGCATAGTCACAAGCTTAACTATCGTGTCTAGATTATTTGTAGGAGCGTGTCATCATGAGAGACCTGGACGTGGTGGTGGTCTTACTCGGTTTACGTTAAATGACAGGCTTGTATCTCACGAGCTAATGTGTAGGGGAGAGGTATGTTCAACATATAGAGTAAAAACACACATATGTGTAGAAGCACATACATGTGCAGTGCCCCCCAGGCGACACAGCATGTACTGTTGTAAATCGACCAGGTGCTGAGCTTGAAAGCAAATAAATTGAGCAGTTAAAACATTTAGATTGGTAAGCAAGCTTAGAGCGCAACATGCTGAACCGGGGGCCCAAGAGCTAATGATCAAACCTGCTTAGTGTGTGTGAGGGTAAGGGTAAGTCGTTGCTAAACAGTTATACGGTAAAACATATTTATGTTGCTAGGTAGTCAAATAAGCCTTCACGAGATGCTATACTCGGCTTGTAGGTGGCAGTGTTCATATACAGGCCTATACATTTCGGCCCCCCAAACCTGCAGCGTCCCTGATTGTCAAAGGGGTCTGTCCCGGCCGGGAGTGGGGAGCGTCTTGACTCCATGTCGACATCAGCCGATGCCTCATGGGGGGGCCCCAGGGTCCCGTGGTGAAATCTGGAAAGCCCTCTGGGGCATATCTGGGTGGGAGTCTGCCTCTGTATGATGCAGGATTTGGTGCGGTCTGTCCAGGCCCCCTCGGCTGAATCCAGCCCGGAGCGTTATAGTGCCGTGAAGTCGATGTGCTGTGCCGGGTAGGTTGGTTCAATTTCGCCTAGTGATATTATTTATTTATCTATAAAATATTTTACCAGGAAAGATACATTGAGATTTCTCTTGTTATCAAGTATGTCCTGGGTCCACAAATCATTGCATTGTTACATTAAGGTACAATAAAATACAAAAACAATATTAATATACAATAAATACAAAATTTAACATAGAACAGGTAGGAAATATATAATCAACCATGACAGGTGCATTCTGTTTTGAGGTATATAGAGAGGGATCTCTTAAAGGACTTTAGGCTTAGGGATGATTTTAAATTGTGCGGGAGGTCGTTCCACAATTGCGGTGCTCTGTAGGAGATATCTGTGGCTTCTCGCTGCCGTCGGCATGTTCGGACGCTTGAGCTTGTGTGCTTTTTCTCTCTGCCGTCTGCGGCTTGAGTTGTGGGTTTCGGGTGCTTGTGGGGGTGCCCTCTTTTGTCGGGTGATTGCCGGTAGTTCTACAGCATTGTCATGCGCCCCAGTTTGTTGCTCCCTGGCTGTTATTCTCGCCCAGAACCTGGTGAATATCCCGTCGAGCTTGGCCTCAAAATCAGGCTTCTGTGTGTTGCGGGTGCACGTGGCAGCGGCCATGTTGCGCAGCTTCATGGTTTCACGCTTCTCATGTGTGTTTGTCTCCGGGGCACTTATGGAAGCAGGGCATCGGTGAGACCGCACCTTCAGTGCATGGGCGAGGAGAGCAGTATAAATTGTGAATTTCAGTTACAGTGAACATGTGATTGGTTTACACAGGATAAAGTGCCACTGTAATTAAAAACTATTGGGTATATTCATTAAACAGTGAATTGAAAACAAGCTGCAGAATTTGAGATAAAATTCAGCTATTCAGCCTACATTCTGCAATTTGTGTATTAATTCACTACTATTGACTGTTAAGTGAATAAACCTTTACGTCACCTGAGATCTTTTGTATAGTTTGTGACCGGCAGAAAATGTGCTCAACAGTTAACAGTTAAAGAAAATCAGATGGTATTCACCCGTGGTTACTTATCAAAGTTGGTTTAGAATAAGTTGAATGACGGAGACCCTTGAAACAAGGGGATCCCAGAAGTAGCTGCTGAACTTAACAGAATAAATAGTATAGTTTTTTGTTTTTGTTTTTTGTTAAAGGGACATTCCTTTGCTGCTATTAAATACAACTAGCAGTAGCTTATATAGGGTATATATGGGTATTTCTATTTATTCCCCTTCACTCTTTTATCCACTTACAATTACAGCCCCCTGTTCTTCTCTACTTGCCACCTGGTAACTATACTATTTATTCTGTTAAGTTCAGCAGCTACTTCTGGGATCCCCTTGTTTCAAGGGTCTCCGTCATTCAACTATATTTCTTTCTGGGTTACCCCCTATATTGTAGCTCTGAGGTAGGCTCTTTTTAAGACAGTTTTCACCAATTCACATATTTTTGTGATTATGGGGATCTGTCTTTTCATTCCTTTTTACACCTTGGTTTAGAATAAGCCAAACCACTGTTTCATTACTCCAAGAATTAGCATAGTACAAACTTGTTGCTCATAGTTAAAGGACCTCTCGATAGCCATAAAACAATTCAGCTTACTGAGGGGCTTTATGGGTGAGGAGTATCCCATTCAAAAGGCACTTTATAAAAGTGCAGATTTCTCATATATTATTAAATAAATTCCTCCCTGGCTGTTACTCAAGCAGCCAGGGAGGTTTGATTCCTTTACAT